CATCTCTCAACTCTGACAACACCATGCGAAGTCCGAGATGATGTAGGCGAATGTGTGTCTGCTGTATTAGCAATTTCGTGAAGTGATGTTGCCCATCCAGTAGGAGTGGGTGACGCTGCTCTCTCGTTAGCGGTGCAAAGTGTAGCCGTCCGCCGAGACGAATGAGTCCAGAGTCTAAGAATGGGTTGAAACAAGCGATTTTGGATTCTTCCGGCAGTGGTGTGTTGTTCCGAAGTGCATAAAGCTCGATAGCGAAGCATTCCTCTTGTACAGTCTGAATCCAGTAGGCACGGGCCGCCGCGAGTTCCGCCGCAGTCAGTTCGCCTCGAAGTCTCTCTCGACGGAGTAGTGACTGTTTGAAACGAAGGATCCAAGCGGTCGTGCGTATCAACTTCCAATAGGAACTGAATCTGGTAGCATCTATCAATGAAGAATGAATTCCCAAAAGAAGAACTGGTTGGGTCCACGGGCGTTTTTCGTCTGGCAGCGGGCTGCTTGAAGTGGGAAGGTTCTTGAGCCATTCTCGCGAAGGAAGAGTAAGCCATGAAGGTCCATGCCACCATTTATCCAAAGCCTTCAGTCGATCTGCTGTGATGCCCCTCGAAAGATGATCAGCTGGATTGCTTTCTCCAGGGCAGTGTCTCCATTGCGAAGGCTTAGTGCACGTTTGTATTTCCGTAACCCTGTTGCATACGAAGGTTCTCCAGCGGTTTGGGTCTTCACGTATCCAGCCTAAGGTCACCATGGAGTCAGTCCAAAGAGTTGCTGCTTGACTGTGGAACCCCGTCTCCCGACAGTAATAGTGTAGCAGCCTGGCACCTATCAGTGCTGCGAGGAGCTCCAGTCGTGGTGAGGTCACCTTCTTTACAGGCGCAAGTCTGTTTTTGCTGCAGACCAGCTGGACCCTGACCCGGTCCTTACCCTCCGTTCTGATGTATAGTGCTGCACCATATGCCCGTTCGGAGGCATGGATGTGAGAATCACCATCTTCCGAAGTGTGTACACAACGGAGAATATGTATGCTTGATAAGGATGGTAGTGTCGCTACCCACGTGTGCCACTGTAGTCCAAGGTCTTGTGGTAGGAGTTCATCCCAGCCCATCCCTCGACACCATGTATCCTGGAATAATCTTTTCCCAATGATGGAAACAGGCGATGCTAGGCCAAAGGGATCATAAAGTGTGGCCGCGGCTTTCAGCACGTTCCTTTTTGTGGTGGGTCCTTTTGCTACCTTGTTTGTAATGACCTCATGATCGATGGAGAATGTATCGGTTTCTATATTCCAATCGACGCCCAATACTTGGGCTTCTGCGTCGAATCTCTGTCCCTCAGCAGTCCAAACTGTTTTCAACTGCGTGGAATTTGAGGCCCATTTTGCCATAGGGAGTCGAATTTGTCCCATAAGGGAAGTAAGCTCGTAGTACAGTGCGATTACCTCAACTTCGTTTTCTGCCCCTGCGGCGAAGTCGTCGACATATGTGCTGTTGACCATAAGGGATGCAGCATGGGGAAACGTCTGCTTGTAACGATCAGCAAGCTCTCGCAGAGTAGCGGCAAGCAGAAAAGGACTGCAAGTCAGGCCAAAAGGAAGCCTTTTGAAACGGTAAGTTGTTATGTCGCTTGTAGTTTCGTAACCATGTTCATCGTCGCCAACCACTCGGTACCAAAGGAATCTCGTTAAGTCCCTGTCATCTTGATCTAGGACAAGCTGTAAAAATGCCTGGCTGACATCGCCAATAATCGCTGACGGGTATAGTCTGAATCTCAGAAGAATGGACAAGGTTTCTGGAAGAAGGTTTGGTCCCATCTCCAGAGCGTCATTGAGTGAGGGCGCGTATTGTTCACGCGAGGACCCATCAAACACGATCCTCCACTTGATATTCCCACGCCTTTCCTTCTTTACCAGATGGTGTGGCAGATAATAACTCTCCTTAGAGTCTTGTATAGGCTCGGCGATTTCCACATGACCCTTTCTTACATAATCTAGCATTTGCGAGTAATAAACTTCCTGCAGACCTGCATCTCTTTCAAGTCTCTTCTGCAGTGTCTGAAATCGTTTTTCTGCATTCTGGCGATTGGTCGGTAGGGTCATATTCTCCTTTCTCATAAGAGAAACTACTCTTCGCCTGTCTTCAATGCGGTGGGAGTTGTGGAATCGCTGGAGGATGGCAGTGTCCTTTGCACCTAAAGATCGGTCTTGGTCTGGCGAGATTCCGATGACATCCAAATCCCATAGGCGTCGAAAATCATCATCTGAATGAGGGACGCAGTGGTCCGACTCAATGTAGTTTACGACTACCGAGCTGACGGTGATCCCAGATCGGTTTCCACTGAGTACCCAACCCAGCTTGGACGGGATCAGTACTAGTGATTGCGACAGTCGTACTGGCATATCATTTTTGACTATCTTCCAGTAATGGTCACCTCCGATGAGAATCTCGATAGGAAGATCGTCGTTGTCGTCCTTCGGGTCAGCGAGTTGCATTTTGCGTGTGCGTCCCAAAACGTCGACGTCATGCGGTACAGTCGGGTGAGCTGAGAAGGCGTGAGCACTCTCAAACGCAGTGATGGATGTTGTAGAGTTAGTCCAGATACCCTTTAGATCCAATCGGACGAGTCTACGTGGATTTGAAAGAACAGATGGCATCTCGAAGGCGCTAACTGCTAGCTGTCGACTTTCAATTGTTTCTAACTTCAGGTCCTCTATTATTGATTTCGTGATGAAGCTGGATTGGCTGCCGCCATCCAGCACGCATCTAGTCAGTTTGCTTATACCTGTAGGCCCCCTAACCCAGACACGTGCGGTCTGCAGGTAGGTAAAATCAGAAGAGGCAACTCCTACATTGCCGACTGAGATGGGTGGTTGGGCAGTATTGTGTTCCGTGCTGTTGCATATGGATCTGTGGTGACTCCTCTTGCAATTCGTGCACAATGCTCTTCCTTTCTTGCTACAAGTGCGGGCATTGTGGCCTCGATTGAGGCAAATAAAGCAGCGGTTTGCGGCCTTCAGCTTCTCTATGCGGCTGCGAGTATCAGTGACAGTATCGCAGTCTTGGGCCCAGTGGCGGCGGCTCTCGCAAAAGACACAGAAGGGTTCCGTAGGTCCTTTAATTCTTCGAATATTCTTCTGGGTTTTCGAGCTGATGTGGAAGGTCGCCGCCGCTGGAGTGAGGTTACAAACGCTCAAACTCTCGCCGCGAATTTTCTGGGTGGTTAGGGCTCCCTCTACTTCAACGCTCAGAAACTCCATTAATTTTATGATATCACCCTCAGAGAGCTGTTCCCTCTTCACGTGAACGATCCATCTCCTGCATACATCGTCAGGGAATGCGCGAAGTATTTTTGGCGCCAGTACTCTACCGTAGGCGTTAACGTCTTCCCCTATCGCCTGGAGGGCCTGGATACGTCTGTTACACTCTATGAACGTAGTATTGAGAGCTTCGGGGGACGCGGTCGTAATCGGCGTGACGTCTTGTAGGTAGTCTAGGTGGGCCTGTATTATGCGGTTCCGGTCCCCATACCGTTCGCGAAGAATCTTCTTGGTGTCCTCATATGTTGATGCTGAGACAGAGATGCCCTCTACCAACAGCTTCGGCTCTCCCTCAAGATAGCCTCGAAGAAATACGTGTTTGTTAACAGCCGAGAGGGATGGGTCCTTATCAATGGATGACTCGAATTGTTCCCAGAAACGTGACCAGCTTTCCACGTCTCCTGAGAAGGGCTCTAACTTGATGGGAGGTAATTTTACCGAATGAACAAACGATGGGGTGGGAACAGCCGCAGCAGAGGTCTCACTGATTGTTAAGTCGGCCGTTGCCGCAGAAAGCCTCTTGTCGATCCCTCGCACTGCCTTCTGGATCGCGCGCTTGGCGGTGTCGATATATTCTTCACAAATCGCCACGTCTGTGTCGTATTCATCATCCGCAATGAGGTCGTGGATGGAGTCGTCCAGTCGCAACATACGTTCTAACGCTTCCTCGACGCGTCCCTTGTAATGTTCATAATCTTCAAGGGAAGTCTCTCCTGTGAACGAGTTAAGTGAATTGGCGAAACGCGTAATGTTATTTCGCTCCCTTGTACGTTTCCTCTTAAGGTTATGTAGTTGTTCTACGTCGGCCATTATGAAAATCGTACACTAGTTCTCCCTCCTCGTGATAGTCGCTTGAAGTGGTGTATGTAGTACTGTTAGTTCTACCTCCCTCTCAAAGATGGCGGGATACTCGTAAGTTGTGTTACCGACCGATTTTCTGGTAGTTCCGCTTTCCTCCACCAGGTACGTGACGGGTTCTGCAATGCGTTTCTACGTTATGGAGTTACTTGCCTCGTGTCTGAAGATCCTGGCGTCTTTGTGTTTCTCTGTCCAAACCTCTACTCACCCAGTTTCTTCACTTGAAAATACACTCCACAACCTTCACAATAATAACAATACACTCTTACACTATCACGTCACGTAATGGCTCGCTTGTCCCGGGTTTCGGCACCAAAATGTGGGAGCAAGTAAAACAGTACTATTCACACAGTAGCCATATTTATTCTCTCTCTCTCTCTCTACATAGAGGTTGCAAGTTAGGAGAGGAACGTATTACATAGAGGAAGCAATGTGATGGTGGTGCAGTTGTACTTAAGAGACGTCAGTCCTCCACACACGTAGTTATATTCCAGGAGGCAGAAATTTTATAGCTCACGTCTCACAGTGGACATAACAATTCTTATATAATTTTATACTCAGAATTAGACGCCAGAATTCTCGTTCACACGCCAGTGGTCCGTGCTTCAAACCTCTGCTTTCAGCCTCGTGTATTTACTGACATTCTTATGAACTGAAAGATCAAACATTGAATCAACTGTTCTACTATGAATCAGGCAAAAACTAAAGTTCTCAATTTGCTTAATTAATGGAACACCAAGCCTTGAAGGTGTATGCGGAATGGTGGCATAGCTCCACAGCATTGGACTTAACGCAATAGATGGAGATAAGAGGTCAGCTTCACGCCCGGGTTGCTTTATCCCCAGTACGCATTAAATTGGAGGCTGAAAAGGCCCAATAGGTGGTCTGGACCTTGAGGAAAAGCGAGGAAATTCTTACCTTCTATGAGAGAATTCTGCACGAACTTCCTACATTCCTACCGCTAACATTTACGCACCAGACCAGATTCCGTACCAGACTGATCAACTTTTTGTGTATGTCCGTTAATATCTGATTTCGTAAAACAATGCAGACCATTTGTAACGCTCCCCATGAGTTGTATAAATGAAAATCGTTTCTCAATTCGAACCCATATACTTGCGAGATATTTCAAACCGAAATTCATACTACACATAACACAGCACAATCTATTTTAGAGATTCATGATATGTCATCACGGCATCCAAGGGCTCACAATCGCTGCAACGACGTTTCTTCTGCATCTTTGCTCTGGGTGCTGCAGACCCGCACTCCGCCCGCTCCACAAGTACAAACAACTCCTTCTCTCCTCCCCAATTTGGGAGGAGACACCACAAAAAGCAAACCAGAACTGTGGTACAAGAACTCGTCCAAACTGCAGTACTCATTCTTCGCAATCAATACGATTGTTTTCCTTATCAACTTCACTACGCGCATAAGTTTGTGACGATCGTACGCATTATGATTTTGGATATTATCCAAAGTCTTGTCTGTTTTTTTTAACCCGTCCTCCTGTTTCTTTTCAGAACACAACGCTTCCAAGACTGGATTCTGTACCCGTCCTCAGGAAAAACCTACTCAGTTGGATGCAATAGAGCTAGTCGCCATCTGCGAGCCAATTAGAATATGTGGGAGTCGCGACGTCTCAAAACCCAAAGGGCATTCATGGATGTTATACGGATAGCTTTACCTTCTTATGGTAATCATATTAGAATACATTTGTCCTTGTGGACGGAAAGTGCAATGAAATGCCAAAGTTTGTTGCATGTTATAAAGAAAATCTCTGCCATGTAAAGTCGTTGTACTCGTACAATAACTCGGCGAACTGGGTTTTGAATGTAAAAATTGTCCCAACCAAACCCGGTTCTCCCTTTTTTTTATATCAAACCTGACATTTCTCTCTAATAAGTACCATGAATTAATTAAATAATTTTCCTGGGGAGTAAAGCGCGATCGAAGCGTAAGGCTGACAACCTTACCGCCATCTTTGAGCCCACTCTCTAGAAAATGTGGGATCCTCAACGTCACACAACCCTATAGGCCTTCACGGCCGGGTACAGGGATAGCTTCGCATTTTACTTTACCTGACATTTCTCTACCCGCACAGGAGAAATGTGAAGTTACACAGCAATATTATGACCACCATAACATTAACATTGAGTTGCATTCTTAGGTAGCATGTGCCGATACACAGGAGAGCAACAATATCCCGGGGGAAGAAGAGCGGGTTCTCCTGATACTATATTGTCACGTGTTAGACGGGGTTTCGATTGGTAATTGGATTTATTGGCCAGTTATAGATCGTAGCCACAAGTAACTATAGAACTATCACTAATTCACAGACTCTGCAGTTCACTACAGGAAGCACTTAAATCTTCTCAGTCTGCTGTGTCTTCACCAGATGTTGTCTGGTAACGGTTTCCAACGACGAACGTTTCCCTTAGTCTGGGTTCCCGAACTATCCCCACGATTCACCTACCAACTTCTAGCAGCAACGCTAGCAACGACAAAACTGCGGATCTCTAACTCACTAGCTCACCAACCAACTCTTCAATTTCCTGCACTAAACTGCACTAACCAGCTATCACTAATTTTCCTGCTTACAACACTGAGGTACGGACTGAACAGAAAACATTCTTCCTGTATATATTGTTCCGTGCAGAGCCATCGGCGTGAAATGCACAGAAAACAACAATTCTTCCTTGTTGCTTACGCGAAGCTGTGTAGTAAAAACCGTTGCCTAATTATTTCTTTCGCGGTTGTTGCCCAGCAACGGGTCTAAATGTCACGACATAATATAAAGATATTACTTCCCTTTTATTAGGCATAAGGTCACAACAATGGCTTTCCGTCTGCCGTATATATATATAGTACTCATATCATTCATCATTTATCATTTTTACTTATAATTAGGGAAATTAGAAAAGTCGATGCTGGCGTGGCCCCCAATGACTTAACTTTCATTCTAAAATTTCAAGGAAGCCAACCGTAAAGAAGTGTGGCAGGGAGACAGGCACAAGCATGCAGCGCGATAATCTCGTCAACAGTCGCCCTCTCCCCGCCTCGAAAGGAACGCGGGTATAAAGAGCAATTGTTACATGACATAACATGCATACACGGCTGTCTTCAGCATACGTGGATGTGAGCTAATAAATTATTTCAAAATAAGTGAAAACATGCAACTTACTAAGCATAGATCTGTATCTATAATACACACGCCACACAAAATGCAGGTCACCTTTCCAGAACGCGCGCATTACATTCTGAGTGCCGAAAGTCCCACATTCGAAATCTGAGCTCTCGTCTCTGTACCGAGGTAGAATTACAGATGTAACTTCACAAAGCAACATTACAAGTCGCAGAGCAAGAGACCCGCTTTCATTTCCGCCATTTTTACCGCAGTCGCTGAATAAAAGGTAAGCAGAGTGAAACCTCCGTACACGACCGATGTTAATAATGAGTACATCTAATCTAATATAGGGCAAAGACAAGGCTATCCCTGCAACAGGCCGTGGAGGGCCATGGGGTTGTGAGACGTCGAGGCTCCCACATTTTCTAGACAGTGAGCTCAAATATGGCGGCGAGTTCAGCCCCGCGCGCCGGCCGCCCTTTACCCTCAGGAAGGTTCCTGGTACTCATTTGTGTTAAAAGGCTGAGTCGACCCCAGGGCCATGGTGCGGCAGGAAGGGTTAGGTCAATTGAAAATTGCAACCCACGACCTTCAAGCTTGTAGCATTAAAAATTAAATAGCACAAAAACATTCCCATTCTATATTAGCGCAGACTAGAAGAACTATTTTCTTAGTTCTGATAGGCCCATTTGCTATTTCTCAAATACTGCGGTAAGAATTATACAAGTGGTTTGTAATAGGTGGTGCCATGTAACAAAAGAAATAGCATTGCAGCTAGTTTCAAGGCAATCGATACTTCACTGATGACTGTTAAAAATAAATTTATATACAAATACCTAGGTTCAACGCCAGTTTATGTATAGACTCTATACTCTACACTATGGAGTATTTCCTCATTGTTCGCCTCTTCTTCTCACATCCATAGAAAGAGTAAGTTCTTCTCAATTATCATGTTCCCGTCTGGCAAATATTAGCATTTGTTTTCGGACATGCGAGTGCTACGTTTTAATTGAAACACTAAAGCCTGACAAAATTACAATACTGACTAAGCGAACCTGCTCGCTAGAACGTTCTTCCTGCAAAACTAGACACTATAACAACCTCTTAAGTACAATTTCCGCTGCTGTAAACTTCCAAAATCCTAGTGTTTTGAGATCAGTTGTAATATTATCTTCACACCTCCGTCTAGGTCGTCCTAGTATTCAATTTTCGTGTCCCCCATGCGTGTTATATGCCCTGCCCATCTCATTCTTCTACACATCAGCATTCAAATAACAAATGGTGAATAGTACAATTTTAAAGGTTTTCAGTATGCAGGTCCCTCCAGCCTCCTATTATTTCAAACCCTTGGGTCCAATCATTTTCTTCAGCACCCTGTTCCCAAACCCCTTCATTCTGTAAAGACCTTTACACCCACACGAAACTGCAGACAACTTGTATTTTGTATACTTTAAACAAAGCGGGTTAGAAAATAAAAGGTTCCCAAATGAACCGAAGCAAGCACAATCCGAAATTACACTTCTCTTAATTTCGTAAAGAAACATAACTTTGATCTGTAACTGTCCTTTCATAATATTTGAACTGTGATGCATTTTCAAAAGATCTATCAACTGTCGGTGTGTTATGATTTGTCACTGTGTTCTCGTGACGTGACATCAACATCTGCAGCGCTTTCTCTGTATTTACTGCCAAACCAGCCTCCTCGCCTTATTCAAATAGAGCTCCCGTGTTTCTCTTTATGGCAATACAATAGACTTATATCTCAAACACAGGCAAGAGTCCATTTAAAGTCCAACGTGGTCTTCTTAGACATTCCTAAGGGCAT